AGCAGAAAAAACATGGACAAGAACATCCCGGCGGACCGAGAACCGTGCTCGTAAAAACAACGTTTTTTTTTTTTAAATGTCGTTTTCGCTACAGCGAAATGCACATTTGTATGAGCCAAATTTGGCAAAATTATCGCGCGAGAATTTGGCAAAATTCGCGTTTCGTGAGGGTTTTGGACACTTTTCATTGGATCAATTTGATAGGCGCATTTTATTGTCTTTTCAAACCAGACGCTTCAGCGTTGAAATTGTTTTTTGCTGGAGCCGAGTATGTCGATTCACATATCGCCATTGCCAGCATTTCACATACAGGAGAAGATCTTTGCTCTTTGAACCCCACCCCACCCCTTTGTGTATACACCGTAGCAACAACACCAGAGATCTCTGCAGCGTAGCAACATATAACGTACGAAGTATAAGGAACGTTAGCATGGCCCCCCCACCCCACCCCACCCCTTCGTGTATACACCGTAGCAAGAACACCAGAGATCTCTGCAGCGTAGCAACATATAACGTACGAAGTATAAGGAACGTTAGCATGGCCCCCCCACCCCACCCCACCCCTTCGTGTATACACCGTAGCAAGAACACCAGAGATCTCTGCAGCGTAGCAACATATAACGTACGAAGTACAATGAACGTGAGCATGCCCCTCCCCACCCCACCCGACCCCATCATGACCTCCGAACACACGCAAAGAAAAACGTGCGTTTTACGAGCACGGTTTTCGGTCCGCTGGCATAAACATATATAAACATCAAATAGGGCGCGAACCTATGGTACACCCTGCTCACCTGAGGGGAGTCGCCATTTTTCACGGGGCCCCTGTGAGCAGGATGATACCAAGATGCTTCAGGCCTGAACTGCGAGCTTCACCTGATCATGCCAAATTTGACTAGGTAAATAGCGGTAAACATAAATCTTGGTAAATCGCCATGAAATATCATCAATTAAATCGTCATCATTGATGATAGGATCCTTACTGAAACTCTGTGACAATTTGAGCCGGCTACTCCATGTCCCGGGTTGGATGATGGGAACATTTGCAAGAAACGCATAGAAACGCATGTATTTGCAAAAACGTGGTTTTGTGTGGAATTCCTCAACCACCAGTCGATTTTGTGCCCTCAGGCTGCCGAAGATGCTATGGCCATCTACCGCCGGCAGAACAGCCTGCTTGGCCAGCAACAGCCTTGAGCGATGTGTTGAAACCAATGAAACCCGAGAAGAAACCCCGTGATTTGGTTCAAGGTAATATCTTCAGGAGAAAACACCAAACAATTACAAAGAATTTAGCAAATTTACTGGCAAGACCCCACAGTTTCATATAGTTTCCTGTTGATGTTCCCTTCAACCCAGTAACATCAATTTTCCTGGAAATGTGGGGTGTTCACAGGCAGTTGAGGATGGTTGACAACAAAAACATGAAGCGCCACTCTTGCAGAGACACTTCAATCTGCTCGACGAAGCCTCCAGGTCGAATGTTTTACGGATCCTTGTGAAGGCCCACAGCCATGAGCTAAGCAGCTAAGCACAGCTGGGAAGATGATTTTTGGCAGCCTGCCAACCTGCAGGCCATCAAGAAATGGACAGTTTTGAAAGCGAGATGGATTGGTGTGACATTTCTATACATTTCTACTAGGCTTGGAATGGCCATGGCCATGGAAGTTTTGAAAGTGAGCCAGCACTGGCCTTGATCAGTTGACAGCATCTCTGAGGCATCATCCAAGATGACCAAAAGGGTTTGGAAGTGGCTGAAGCTGCGCTGACTCAGTGAGATTCTCAGTATGTTCTGGCGATTTCACAGAATTTCCATGGGTGGAATGGCGCCAAAAAACCAGCCAAAGGTGTGGAAAATAGATGAACATTGAGTAAAGGAACAGCTCCCAGCCTTGGGGCCTCCCGAGCTCACAGGTTCCGAGAACAACATTACAAGCGTGGTGAGGACCTGGGCCTGGGCCGCCAGGGTGCCACATCCAATGCACCTTTTGGGTGAATCCCACATGAATCACCCCTCATCCCATGAATGTTCACTCATCAATCCCACATCATTGCGTATATCATCTCAGTTATCATCCCACTTAATCATCCAATCATCCCAATTAACCATCCCAGTTCATTATCCCATGATGGTTAAAGTTGGTTATATAATATATATATATATATCCCATTCATCCACGAGTGAAGTTCACCCTATGATCATCCCGATAAACAAACTGGCCAGGCCATAGCCTTGGATCAAATCGCCTCGGTGCTCTACGGCATGAGAAGACCCATGGAGGCCAAACGTTTGGCAACACAAAAACTATATATATATACATGTATACATACACGCATGTTTGGGACTCTCTCTCTCTCTCTATATGATTCTATATGTATATGTATATGTATATGTGTATGTACATGTATATGTATATGTGTATATATATATATATGTGTGTATATTTATATGTATATAAATATAAACATATGTGTATGTCATGTATAGCTCACGTTGCAATCAGCATCCCAAAAACATGTTTGTCTCATTATGTCTCCACATGTTGGTAGCGGAAACTCAGGACCTGCTTTCCGTCCTGTGCCGTCGGCCAAGGCGTTGGAAGCAGCGACTGAGGCTTTAGACTTGATCAAAACTTTGGAGGACCCTGGATGTGTCTGCAATTGGGCCGTGAAAACGGGGAATGGGATATTATTGATGCTTTCGGGCTACAGAAGCAACAGTCTGATCTTTGGCTTGACCATGGGCTATTTATGGCAATTTAAGTACTTTTTGATAGGTCAAATGATGATATGCCCAGTGGATGTGTTGGGTACCCTATTTCCAAAGCCATCATGGTGGACTCGTCTAGGACTTGCCATGGGAAGCCATCATGCTTCATTCTGTGGTCGAAACCTAAGAGTTTTTGACATTTTTGACCAAGAAATGTTGGGAAATTATGGCGAACATACACAGAAAATGACATCTCGTACATATCGCTGGAACGATTTCGATTTTGGTTGCCACAACCTCACAACCTTTTTCTTTGTTTGGGACTCCTATGGGTTAGTCCAAAAACTAGGACACTGTGCCCCAAAATCCAGTGAATTCAAAAATGATATCCCGTCTTAATTGGCGATAAATGGGGTGTAATTAGATCCCAGTATGTATCCCAATATATTTCCAATATATATATATATAATGATATATACTGCACCCAATAGATTCCTGATATATACCCAGCATATATTAATTATACCCAATAAATCAAGGTTACATCCATTTTTTTGCTGGTTAATCTCTGGTAACTCCCAGCCGAGGCTGCACTGCAGTGCAGCGTGAAGCATTTCCCTGAATCTTTGCAGGCCGCCCAAGAGGCGCCTCCCAGCCCGACCAACAGTGTGATTTTTGGGTCTGAAAATGGGGTATACCATGGCATACCCATAAAATGGCAACTTAATATAGGGAATATGATTCAGCAGTCAAACATGTGGGGATACATGTTTGCCTATTTTCAGACAAAGCCACATTGGATGGAGTTTAACCGCTAGCCCATATTTTTAAATTCTACTTTCATATCACATGTTCTATACTAGAAATGGCATACACATGGCCACTTTCAGTCCATTGGCATCCCAATTTTGGTCTTTGTGCTTTCATATGGTTTTAATTTTGATTTAATCGGTTTGCCTGAGAGGAAGATAGCTCCAAACCTGCTGGTTGGTCATCCTTTTCCCTACTAACATTGCCATTTTGCGGGGATATCCAAATATTCAGAGACATCCACATGGTTTACAATTTTGATGGATTTTGTGTGTTGAGGCCATTTGGATCTTGGAGGACATTGGCGACCGGAGTGGGCAGGGCAGGATTTTTGGGAGATTGGTTGGGACCCGTGAGGATATCAGTTGATAATATTTGAGCATAGATTGATACTAGTTGATATAGATCTATCATGATTCGTTTATTCATCATTACATTATATATTATACATCTATATACGGTCTATACGGTCTATACGACTTCTCATACGCATAGACACATGCACGTCCATTATCGTGGGATCGAAAATGCCAGGCCTACGTTCGCTTGAACACAGTGTTGCAGGGGCCTCAGTGCACGCACCAACGCCTCGGTGGAAACCTGCCATAAAACGAGTTGCTGATAGTGATTACATTCACACACGCACACGTATACATAGATAGATAGATAGATAGATAGATAGATAGATCTTATCTAATCCAATCTAATCCAATCTAATCCAATCTAATCCATCTATCCATCTATCCATCTATCCATCAATCTATCAATCTATCAATCTATCAATCTATCAATCTATCGATCTATCGATCTATCTATCTATCTTATCTTATCTCATCTTATCTCATCTTATCTCATCTTATCTCATCTTATCTCATCTTATCTCATCTTATCTCATCTTATCTCATCTTATCTCATCTTATCTCATCTTACTATCTATCTATCTATCTATCTATCTATCTATCTATCTATCTATCTATCTATCTATCTATCTATCTATCTATCTATCTATCTATCTATCTATCTATCTATCTATCTCTAATATCTTTCGGTAATAAAAAGTATATATTATGTAGACATCTTTTACTACCAACCATTTCTGGGGATGTTGGAGATGGTTTATTCGGTTTATCACATGTACCGTTGTGAGATGCACTTGAAACACAGACAATAGCTGCGTAGCTGCACATGAGATGAAAGAAGGACCATGCAGACCATCATGGCTTTCCCAAGTAGCCACAGCACATTATGCATACAAGAGTCATTACGTATTTCATCAGCAGGCACGAAGCAACCTGCACACAATCAATTTAAAAGAACGCACGCATACCTTCGCAGGGCCTTTCCATGTTCCACTGTAGATTCGCTCTCCCAACATCTCCGCAAGTTCATAAAACATGCTTTGGATTTTTTGATGTTTGTGGGGGACAGGAGCTGGAAATATGAAGGACATAGCTGGATTTGACTAGATTTCAATCACCAAGCTTGCGCAACTCGTGCCCCTGTGGCCCATGGCGATTGGCGATGCAGATCCGAAAAAGAGGCCAGATGGGGTGAGTCAAACACTCACTGAATCTCAGTGAGGCGGAGCGTCTGGAAGGATTGAACGTTTGGTTTTGATAATTCATGCATCCTGAACGTTCTCAATTGTTTTCAGCATATCATCCAGCAACCCCCGTTTTTTCGAAAACAGGAGCTCAGGAACAAAAACAATTGTCAGCTAACGATCCATCATACATAAATAAACATTGCTTCTCTCAACAGACAACGTCATGTGGGGTAAGACTCAACAGATCTGCAGCCGACACGTGGCTGGATGTAGAAGTTCGACCGGAAGAAAAACAGAATTTCAGCCCCTGGGAGTGCAGTTTCCACATGATTTAAGATGATATTTTGAGATGTTTTACTGCACTCCCAAAGGCACTTTGACAGCTTTGCCTGTGATTCATGCCAGTTTCTTTGAAGTACCCAACACTTGGTAAAAACCTTGGAAAAAAAAACAAAAACAAACAACACCAAAAATGGAAACTTGAGACACACACACACACATCACCAAACAAACAGAGAGAAAGAGAGAGAGAGAGAGAGATAGAGAGATAAAAAGAGTTTCTTGACCCATGGTTTCCTGCAACTTTTTTCCAACCGACAGTGCGCCACTTCCAAGGAATGCCAAGGCGAAGCCGGCACCCAAAGAGAGGGTCCAGCCGAAGAAGAAGCTGATGCCCAGACCCCCACAGGCGGCTGCTTTGGGCCACGGGTAGATTGCTCTGAAAATGGATAGATTCCCTTGAAATCCAGTGGTTTATCATGGTTTATCAGCATTTTCACCATGAAAAGTTGTTATTTTGGTGGAAATGTCATTGATTACTTTGTTGGTGTTCTTCTTGCCGCTTGCTTTCGGACTCAAAGTCTTCTTCATTTTTGGGTACATACATAAATCATACATGTCTTTTCCACTTCTTGTTTCTTATTATTGTTAGCTGTCCCTGATGGCCTATACCAGCAAGTCGCTTTGTCAGGCGCCGCCGCCTCGAAAGCTTCTGGCAGACCGACAGAGCCAGAATCTTGCCCTGATTTGCAATTTTCATTGTGGCAAATTTTCATCACTTTGTTGTTTTACTTTTGCAAGTGCGTCTTGATATAATATATTAATGGTGGCTTTGCTTGCTGCACAATCGCTTCATGATCAAAGCTTGCAGTCTGGGGTCTCCGTTGTGTCTTCGTTAGTTCATCTAAGTTTGTATTTCCACGCAGCAGCCCACGCTTTGCGAATTTTTCCCAATGGGTTTGTCTGAAAATATAGCATCCCCAAAATCCAATGATTTCCGATGATTTACTGTATCACTCTCTTTCTAACTTAAGTCTTGAGCAATACTATCTATCTATATATATATAATTACATACATACATACATACATACATACATACATACATACATTACAATTTTCCGGTACATGCACCATTTTCAGACATCCCAGTTAATGATATTACATCCCATCATACTGCCATTTCATTTACCATGAATCTCCCATGAACATCTCAGCAATGCCGTGTCCCAGGCAGTTGGTACCCGTGAAGGAGGAGACCATGGAATTCTACGATGGGCAGACGGTGCAGATGCCACCTCCACCTCCGCCCACGTCACCCTGGCCCCAGGCTGGGAGCTGGGCCCAATGGCCGATTTATCAGCGTTTATATATCCTGTGGGCACCCAATGCCGTAAACAACTACCATTTGGGGATGGGTTATAGAATCTTTGGGGATGGTTTATTTCTGGGTTTATCACATTGTTCTTTTCTTAAACCAAGGTTTACTGGAGGGATTTGGAAGGAAAATTACATCCTCTCATTTCCAAGCAGCAGAAGGAATTCGCTTCGGTTTGTGGCTGACTACCCGCTTTAGGTCCACCAAACCGGCTTGGTTGAGACTTGTCATGTTTACAAGGGGCACTTCAAAACGGGGAACTAAGCAAAGTGACCTGAAAATGGCGTGAAAAACTTGATGCTCGCAAAAATTGGCTGGATGAATCCTGATTATGTTTATCCTTTTTGATCCTTTTTGATCCTGCAAACGACGAGCATGTCTGATTGTTCCAGCCTCACAGGCAGCGCTTCCGGGCTCCTTCCCGAAATCTGTGTCTCTGCTAGGCGCTGCCGTGGTCGTAGTTCATCGGGGAACTGACCAGATTCTATTCTGCAATTTCCTCTAGACTCTAAACCATGTTTTGCAAAAAGTCATGCGCGTGGGAATCATCTGCAGCCAGCTTAAGCAATTTCGAGCATTTCAAGCATTTTCAAGCCATTTGCAGGTCTCAGCAGCATGGGCATGGCAGGGGGCAGCTTGGTTCCGCCGGTGGTTGCCCCACCTCCCATGAATCCCCCAGCTGCAGCTGCAACAGCTCCAGTAGCAGCGGTAGCGGCTCCACCAGCTACACCTGTGGTGGTGCCTCCTCCAGTGGTGATCCCCCCACCTGTGGCGTCTGCGGATAATGGCTCTGCTCCTGTAACTTGGAAGAGAAGATCCCTCACCTGGATTTATTGGTGCAAAAATGGGCATGGGTCAACATGTTTCTGACATTTCGCTGCTAGTTGTGGCTAGTTGCTAGCTCCAATCACCCCATTCTTGGGACAACTCCCAATGCTCGTTTTTTGTAGTGGATGGATGGATCGTTAAGTGCTCCTTGCCAACTGGCTGCGACTTGAACTTCTGCAAAGGCTGAGCTCGAAAAGCTGCGAAACAGCATGTCTTCCATCAGGCAGGGGCACTGGTCACTGGTTTTTGATATGGCTATGGTCAAAACCTAATGAATGCAATTTTCAGGGGGATGGACAATGATGGATATGTAAACCCATTTGCCAACCATTTTGATGTTCACAAGGGGTAGAGGGTTGTGACTCACACCCACGTACCTGGCTATTGCGGCTATTGCGGCTATTGCGCCTTCTGACCTGACATTTTCTAGCTATTTGCACCCCTGTCCTCTTGCACCGTAGATGCCGAGGGTGATTCCATGTTGTATTGATCGATTGTCAGACTGGGACGGTCATCAGTTGCCGACAGCCATCATAACATGGCAGGGACGAAAACGCTGCCCTCAAGGCGGAACTTTTCGAGTGGAGAAGAGACTTTTGGCCGGACATGTTAATCCCATATGTTGATCCCATATATGATTGGAGGGGTTACCCATGTTAATCTATGGAGGGGTTACCTCTATATGGTCTATATGGGATCAATGTCCTTTTCAATGTCCTTTTCCATCTTTTTCCCACATGTTGATCCCATATAGAGGTAACATGAGGTAACCCCTCAGCGACAAATCCTCCATTGACCAAGGATGCAGCGAAGAACCGTGAGGCTGAACATGCCTTGGAGCAAGCGCGGGCAGTTCACCAGCTGCACTTGGAGCAATCGAGAGAAAGGATTCAGGGTTTGAGGCAGGATAACCATAATATAGTGGTGATGTAGTGGCTACTGTGTCATGGGCTGATTTGGTAGACACTTGAATGCTGATTTCATGCAGGACCTTGCTATAGCAATCTGATGTAATCTGTAGGTTTCCTGCTGTTGTCACCCAGGCACAGCTTGAAGCTCAAGCGAGACAAGCACAAGATTCTGAGGACAGCTTGCCAGCAGAGTAGGAGACTGGCAATGACTGTTTCATTAGGGTTGGCCCCCACATTCTCAGAGTTGGATTGGAGTCCGAATTGAGTGACGGGAAAGTTCACAGGAAGCCCCTTTATGCAAGAACGCTGGTTTCCAGTAGATTCTCCCATCAACCAACGCAACGATATATAATGACACGTACAAAACCCTGCAAGTATCCCAACGTGGCCTCTGTCAGATTTGTGAAGTAATGTCAGCCCTGGATTTACCAACCCTGTTGAGGAAGATTGAGGCCAGAAAAATGAGGACATTTGCCACTTAAAATGGGCCAACTCCAGGGCCGCCCTAAGCTCCTGCCAGGATTTGGTTCGTGACCAGCTAACCGAGATGGAAAAGCGGAAGTCGCGCCTGGAATACCAGCTCTCTGAGGCAAACCTGTCAGAGGGTTGGTGGTTCTGAATGGGCCATGATGAGCCATTCTGGTCGGTTTTTTGCCGTGGCCAGCCATTCGGGTCAGTTTTTGAGATGAACATTTGGAACTGGATCCCTACGGAATGTCAAGGTGATGTTGTTGTGTGTCCATCCCACCAACCCACCATGTGGGGTTCATTCTACATTCTACATCACCCAGTTCTAGGGGAATACAACTTATCAAAATTTCATCAACCGTACTTCGGGATGGTTTTGTTATGATTAGCCCAAATTTCCAACAAATCCCATCACTACCTAATCACCTGTGCTAGGCCGAAAGCCAGTTGAAAGAAGCACAGAGGGAGAATTCGGGGTTACAGAAGGAGAATTCGGTGTTGCGGACCCACAGCGCCTTGGACCGAAGTGGTGTATATCCAGTTACATGGCAATGTTGATATAGGGAAAACCGGTTTGCGGACAAAAACACATTTTCGGAGATGAATGTCCATTTGCGAGCTTTTTGAGGAGGATTTTCATCAGGGTGCCAAGGTCTTGACTGAGCTTTTTTGAGGAAGGGGAGTTTTCAGTCTCTAGTCACTCTAGTCAACTTGATACTACTTGATAGCTCTTGGACCAAAAAGATGAACATCCAAGAAAATCATAGAAACCATTTGGAACTGCACACACACATGCACAATGCATAGAAGCTTGCAGATATACATAAACTCTCAGGGAATCTAAATAGAAACAAGAGACTCGAAAGGAAGAAGAGAAACACAACAAAATAGGGCTGGAGGGAAACTCTCAGAGAATTTGACGATCTTTCATGGGCATGCATTTTTGCATGCCTTGTTTCAGAACGCATCAAATCAAATGACGGGGTACGTTTTTCGGCTTCAAATGTTTCAAGGATTTCACTGAGAGCCCAAAGTGTCCAACGATTTTTCGCCCAGGAGATCTCTTGACGAGAGAGATGAAGGACTCTGGACCTGTGAAAGCCGAAATCGAGGCGGCTAGGAGTGAAATCTCAGTGCTACACGGACAACTGGAGAAGTTGAAAGAGGAAAACGAGGCTCTCAGGGCAAAGGCTTCAGAAGAGGACCGATATTGGGACTTGGGAGGTTGGGATATACTACAGTACTTATGGATATGTGGTGAACCTGAGTTGCTGGTACAGTACTCATGGACTTATATGGACTTCTGGACGTTCATCCCCCTTTGACCCATCTTATCCCTTCCAGTGGAGATTTGGCAGATTGCAAGGTTGGATGTCCGGAAATATCTTAAGTGAGGCAAGCCATTGAAAACTCTGCCTGACTGCTAGCTACAGAGCTCAAAGCTGCGGCGAGGACAACGAGAAATGGAAAAAACACCAGATGCTGCTAGAGCGCTACTCCTCTGCACTGAAGGCATCGTTCACGTCCCAACTGACTGCACTCCAAGTGCTGAAAAATGAAAGCAGGCAGGAAGGAACATGTTGATACATGTTGCAGCTGGTGTATGTTTGAGTCTATCCTTTAATACACTCAGAAAGTTTGCATGTGCACATGTGAATTAAAGCGTAAGACTAAACACGGGTACACCGAATAGGATGAACTCGCACAGCTTTCATGGTATCAAGTGTTTCTTCGTGCTTTCTTTCCTGGTATGTCGCTTCTAGATTTGGAGCCTTGGTATTAATATGTATTAATTGTGAGATCATATGACACTATTGACGCACTGGTGGCCTATCTCCAAAAATGACAGGGATGTGGTCAACGCCAACGGTGACATAGCTGTGCAAAACAGTGACGCCGTCAAAGAAGCTCCCTGCCTTAGCAGCCGTTGCTACCCATCAAGAGCAATATCAACGGCATGTATGACCCATTGGGGCTCATGGGATTACTTTATGATGGATTATGATGGATTTGTGGGGCACCCTATATTCAACATTATTCAACAACACTGTGGCGGTGATTTTTCCTAGGCAGATTCCAATGGGAGACTGATAATTACAAGTCAGAAATGGTGAGGTAAAACAGGATCAAAACTTCACTGTTTGCCTTGTGGACTTGGTGGGCAGTTGAGCTCACTAGTGGTTCTAACCATGGTGGTAACCCTTGTAAATTGGGACATAACCCCTCCAACCCTGATGATATATATATATATATATAAAATGTAATATATAATATATATATAATGATATATATATAATGATATGCCCATTTACAGTTACATAACATTATTTAACTATAATCCCAAATGCTCCCAGCTGCAGTTTGGCTGTTTCTTCGAGGTCATCGCAGATCCGCAGCTGTCTGTTCTGTTGGAAGCTTTGTCTGGCAGCTCCGACAAGCAGACGCTGGAACATGCCATTGAGCCTTGGGTCTATGCGGGGATGTTAGCTCCACACAGTGCAAGTATCATATTCTTGGTTGTATCCCAATGATATACCAATTATGGTTGGTTCAATCCTCATTACGAAAGCCAGCCGGTAGGCCTGGCTGAAGTTCTTGCCGCGAGCGAAGCGAGTTGAGGGGGGGAGGTCGCGCCAGAGAGGCCGAAAACGAGTCCCCCCTTGTCCCTAGTTGAAGGGGGTTAAGAGAAGATCCAGAGATATGAGATCAGTGGCAAGATATTCCTGGCGAGCGTAAGAAGCAGCTTGTAGCAAGGCGTGGGCATGAGAAACCCCGATGGTGATAATAGAGAGGGAAGGGCTAGTGGCGGCTAGTGGGAAAGGAGGGTGCACCAAAGGGAAGCGTGTGTTGACTTCCGCTGTGGGGAGTAGTATGGAGTAGTTTAAGGTGGTTTGGAGGAAATTAGGGGAAAAAAGAACAGAGGGAAGATCTAGTGGGAAGACGCTCCACACTACGAGTCAGAAAACGACGCCGGAAAGGACGTTCCTTAGAGATACGCACCCAAGATGGGGCCAAATTATACCAAGTTCGCTTCAAGTATGCCATAAACTTACCCCACGTTCACCCCAAGTTCCGTGTGCATTTCAGCCCTCAAACCGTCATCAAAATGCACACCAGCATTGTGAAAACTCAGCCCCAGTTGAGAAGGCTCCAAATAGGCTTCAGTGACCTCTCGAAACCATTCTCTCGCCTTGCGCGGAAAAGACCCCTTGCGTCCCTTGTAACACCTGGCTTTCGTTCCCCCGTTCTCAGGTTGTAAAGATGGGTGAAACCTGTGCATATAATTTGATTTGCTAAAATTTGCTGTTTGTTGCGAACATTTCAGTTGGTCAAATTTTGGTGTGTGGGTGTGTAGGATTTTCAAGGCTCCCAGCTATTCTCAATGATTTTCAATTTGTATCAACAATACTGTTGTAGCGAGAAAATCTGAAAGAACATGCGATGCGCATATTTCCATGAACAAAGAAACAAACACGTGCACACACACACACATGCACACACACACACACACGCGCACACACACACATCATATATATATATAAATAATATTATTGTTATTATTATTAATAATTACTATAATTATTATCATTATTATCATTATTAGGATTATTATTGCCATTATTGTTATTATTGTTTTACTTATTATTAATTGTTAGCATAATTATTATCATCATTATTTTTTCAATTATACATACAATACGCACACATGCGTATATGCAAACACACACACACAAATACAGCCTTCTGTGTATATATATATATATATGCATACCGTATATAAGAATATGTTTTGTATCATGTGTTGCAGCTGTGGATGTTGAGTGCTACCCGCTACCCCTTTGGGGCAGCTCAGGAAAGTCTGCGGGAACTGAGCAAATCCAAAGGCTTTGTGGTGCCGACGACTGATGGTGACACGGCCACGGAAATCATGGAAGATTCGGACAAGGAAGCAGAGGCTGAGAGTGAGAAAGAAGCAGAGGCTGAGAGTGATGATAGCGACAAAGGAAAAAACACAGGCAGGGACGCGCAGGGACTGTGATTCTCTTGATGTTGCTCTCAAGAAAGATGGGGCCCTGCATGCCAGAACGCAAATCGACATTGTGTTTATGGGGTATCAAAATTGGTGCCTAGACCCTGGGCTTGACTGCCAAGGGGATGAGAAAGACTCTGATGAAGAGAAAAGTTCGAAGGGAAAGGCCAACTTGGCAGCGGAAAGAGTGTCAGAAGCACTTGTCAACTTGTTGTTCACACACGCACACACACACAGTCCACACTTAGTTAGGGGGGGTATTTAAATCTCCTTCTATCCTCAGAAAATTCCGCCAAAAATCCCTCTGGAGGGATTTTCAACCTCAGCGGCTGATGCTGATTAGCCAGGGCATACGAAGCAAATCTAGGAGCTGCAGAAGGAGTTGCTGATTTGGCGCATTTTTTGGTGGGAGGTGAACAAACGATGCCCATAGGATTCTCACATGTCCCCACAGACTTCCATGATTTAGCCGGGCTTGTGCTACAATCCTGCATTCCTGGAATTTATCCTGCAAAAAGAGTGAACATTCACGAGATTTTGCTGCTAGAGCAGCTTCACAGCGTAGGAGCTCTAGGCGCCGCAAGCGGCGCCGCCGCCAACGCAGTGTCAGCACAAATAGCCTTTAAAATATCTGGATCGACTTGGAGGCAAGGCTTTGGCTAAGGATCGCATATGTTTTTTTGGGGGAACCTTGGGGTAAATGTGTGTGTCACGTGCTCAAACTGCACGTTATTTCGTGTAGTTTCAACTTGATGTTGTTTTTTCATGTTACTCGTTAGTGGCGTATTGGGGAAAACTCATACTGATCAACTCGTCATTTAGCTGTGTTGGAATGATATTCAAATTACTTAGGAATCCATGTTCAGAATATTGGAACATGTAACAGTCCTGCATATAGAGTGGATACGCGGTCGCCATGGCCAGGCAAAGCCTGGCCCACGCTGAACGACACCCCAGCATCGCGCAGCTGGATCTGCTTTTAAAGTCTTAGAAGAAAATCTGAAAGTGTGCACCTATTCACACTTAGTTGTTTCAATCAGCAAGCTACTGGTGTCAGAGAAAGTAAAAAATGTGTAGCTAAGCATCCTAAAGGTTGGCACTCCTGGATCGCACTTTCAGAAGAATCCCAGCTCTTCGCTGGCATTGTAAATAGTGAGACAAGAGGCAGAGTTCGTCCAGAAGTGTTAGTCTTCAGATGTCTTCAGCCTGTTTGCTCCTTTGGGTGTGCAGCCCGCCAAAATCAAGCAGGCCGTCACAGGGGGCAGTTTGGACCAGGGCACTCGGGGAATTTCAATATTTTCACGAACTGCATTTGAGGTGGTTCCCAAAATGGATCACAATGGGAGGTACGGCAGACAAAATAGCCATCATAACCCAACCCATTCCCGGATTTTTCAGGGACGAATTCACAGGGAACCTCTCACCAAGGCAAGTCCAGATGCAACTGCAAGAGTTCCAAGAGGCGGGCTCAAGAGGTACCCCTAAAATCATCCAAAATTCATGTTGGGAACTGTGGTAACGAGCAGCAGTGTCCTGCTGAAAGGCCTTGGCGACAGCTGAGCAGGCTGTGGCCATCTTTAGGGAAATCAAGGACTGGGCAATTTTGGAGTCCACAACCATTAGAAGCCTAGTCTGGGGATGTTTGAGTCGATTTCTTACTCTGCCCGTTGCCAACTGCAAGGTGCCTTTGAAAAGGCCGGTGTTAAAAACATGAGAATTTGTCGCAGGATCGACGCGGCGAAGCTACAGCTCCTCACTGAGTTGCATGATGTAAAAAAACAAGACCTGCAACTCAATGGCAAAATTCACCGAGGCCTTGCTGCTTGCGGCAAATGTGTACAAGTCGGTGGGCGAACTTGATGAGGTGGGCATAGACATGGCCATGTTGTGCACGGCAACCCGCTCGGGATTTGCCAGGCTGAGAAATGGTTGCGCGAAGCACAGGACATTTTTGAACAAATGGGGGAACGCCGATTGCTGGGATCTCAGCTGCACAGGGCCGCTTGACCCAGACATCGAAGACCCATCAAGAAGTTCCGAGGCTGGCACAAGTCTTGCACAGTATGGCGAAGGTTCACATCGCCAAGAATGAACCTGCAGAGGTGCAACTGGTGCTGATGATTCGTATTTTTGATATTTCTTGACCTGGGATTTCAGCTTCATGATCCATAGTGTTTCATAGTGTTTCCATATCTCCATGTGTTTCCTTTTCTGGTGGGTTTTTTTCATGGCTTGTAGGACCCGGGATGCTTGTCGGACTAGTCGGTAGGTTTCTTTCCATGGCATGGATTCTCAGACCTGAGAATTCACCGCGGCGTCTCGCAATCCCGAGAGTCCTAAGAGGCAGTTCGACTTGCCTACGAAGCCCATTCTCTTTGCAAGCGAGCTAGAGATAAGCCAGCGGAGGCCTGCGAACATTGTGGACACATGTGGACCATTTCTTCGAAAGTGCGATAGTAGTGTTGATACTGCTGCCAAAGGGATGTTAAACTTTCATATCTTCATATCTTGCATTTCTCTTTCAGCATACAGTGTATCAGCAATTCATTGGGGGGTATGTCGTAGAATTGTCGTAATATTATGGTCCCATGATTCCGCGAAAACAATCCCGGAACCGGAACTCTTTTCCGGCGTTTGCTGGGGCTGATATGAGCTTCTTTGAAGGCGGGAACTTTGCTCTTTACCGTGGAAGCCCATCTATCTTTGATCGCACAATTGGCTCGGCTTCCCAGGAGATTTCACGGATTTGCGATAATCTTGTACCATGTGGCACATCAATTTCCGGCATTGCTGGGGTTTTGCCAATAGGGAGCCACATGCAGTATCATGCAGTCACATCGATAAAGAGGACGCATAAAAGTCACT